ACTCATGGCCCAGTGCAGTGGCTCATGCCTGTAATCCCAGTACTTTGGGAGGCCAAGACAGGAAAATTGCTTGAGGCCAAGAGTTCAGGACCAGCCTGGACAACACAGCAAGACCCTCATATTTACAAAAAATAATTTGCTGGGCATGGTGGCACATGTGCAGTTCCAGCTACCTGGGAGGCTAAGGTGGGTGGATCACCTGAGCCCAGGAGTTTGGGGCTGCACTGAGCTATGACTGTACCATTGCATTCCAGCCTTGGTGACAGAGTGAGACCCTATCTCTTAAAGAAAAAAAGAAAAAAATTAGCCAGTGATGTGGAAGACTAAAAAAATCATAAAAGCAAAAACCCACCTGAATATTAGTTAACACTGCATTTCTTATATGCCGCCCTTATTTTTTGAACAACTTCAATGTTCGTCTACCTGATATTTATTTAAAGGCCACTAAAGACAGCTGTGGCTCTGCTGGATGAAACAGGTCTGTGCCAGAATAATATTTTTCCAAGTCTTTGCCAGTCTCTGTCTTCAGTTTTCTCTTCTCTCATTCTGAGAGCTGCAATAATAAGACCTTTCCAATAAATGCCTCTCCTGGAGAGCCCCTGCTCATCTGATATTTTGTTTCATTTGCGACGTATGTATCTTACACAGAGGGGTAGCCTTCAGGGAAAGGTATGGGGTGGCTAGAGACAGATGCCACCATCTCTTTCTCTTCTTTCTTCATTTTTACTGGAAGTGCTTAGCCAGCCATCCAAGAAGGGTAGCTATTTGTCGTACCAATGGCCTCATCTGTCTGTCTGAAGAGAAATGAAGCAGAGCTGAGTTGGACATCTATGACAGTACTCATTCTAATTTATGCATCTCAAAAAGATCCACTGGAATCAGCCGTCAAAAGCAAAGCCTTCTAAACTTTATTCACACTCAAGCTGCATCTCTGCACCACCACTGCCAATGTTATGTCATGTCGTGGGCAGTCAACCAGGCACAGGCGAGGAGAGACCAGGTTGATTTCTGCCTTGCTGGGAACACCTTCATGGTGCCTGTAGATAGTCACTGCAGAAACATAAAAGATGGAAACCCAGGCTGTGTCCTCAACAGGGTAGAAGCTTCCCCATTAAGCCCAAGTCTAGGCAGCTCCTTCTCTCCACAGGGATGGACCTGGCCTTGCTGGGAGGAATGCCCACACCAGGACCTCTAGAAGCAGTCCCAAGGGCTTCAGCTCACATTATGTTCTTTCCATTTAGCGATAAATTCCTAACGCCTTATCCCATATGTCTAACTGGAATGCAGAGAGCAAATGCCACGGTTGAAATGCTCTCCTTCATGATATCAGCTCCTTCCCCAGGGCGTTTTAAGACTGATTTAGGAGTTTCAGTTCCCCTGGAAAAAAAACAAAGGCTGCTCTACACATGAAGAGACTTAATTCTAACACACTGCACAGCAAGACTACAGGCTTACAGGAAGAGCCTTCTGGGCAATCAAGCAAAGTCTTCCTTTCTATGCCCAGAGCATGAAGGCAGCTGAATAATCAAATAACGACATTGAAAGCAGCTTTCTTAATGCTGACAAAACGAAATCTTAGGAAACACCAGGGAGTGGTTATAAAACACAAGTGATTTCAAAACAAGAGTGATAAGAAAGGTTGGCTAAGGGCCAAAGCCACCACTAAGCCTCTGCACCTAGGGAATTCCAGCGGGATCTCGGAGGGCAGGAAGTCAGAGGTGGACTTCCCTAGGATCTGGGAAGGCTCACCAGCCAGGCAGACGCCCTGGGTCTGTACCCGAGGCGGAGTGCCTCCTCTTTTTTCCTCTCCCACAAGCACCCAAATACACAAGGTGAATGAACTTTTCTTAGTGATTCTTGTTTTTAAAGTTCTTCAAGGGGAAAAAAATTCACAAAACACATATCATAAGCATTTCCTTTCAAACATTTTCTGCCAGGTCTTTACTCCAGCTTGTGGGGTCTCCCTTGGTGGCAGAGTTCTGGATTTGTCTGCCACTCACTAGATAAGGGCCAGACCTGAAGGGGTCACTCAATGCTGCCTTGGCTTCAACTGAAGAACTCTAGACATACCAAAACAGATCAGAAAATAGACTTTAATTTTACATGTACAAATGTTGCTGTAAATTCAAAACAGTGAAGAAAAATATTTACAAACCAGTTTAAAAGGAAAGTAAGCAACAAACAATCCACAGCTGAGCAGTTGATGTGCAAATCATCCCAGGAATCCGACTTTCTGTCTCTTGGGCCCCAGGCTTTCTTCCTTGTGCAGAATGTTCTGCAAGGAGGCATGCAGCACCTTGCCCACACGCTTGCTGGTCTGTGGGACAGAGAAGGGACGGGAGAGAACACATGCCCCCTTGTAAGGCACACACACTCTGACCAGAAAAGCTTCCCTTCTGCCAGCTAGTCTTTCTGACGCTGTACACATTTCATCTGCCTTAGAGGACTTTTATTTAATTAAAGCAAATTAAAACAAAAACCACAAACCCCAATAACATAATAAATTTTGGAAAAATCGCCATATCAAAAAAAAAAAAAGAGAGAGAGAGACGGACACCAGCCCCCACCAGGCAGCAAACAGGAAGCGGCAAAGCCTGCCCTGGCCACTAGCTTATGCTTCGCAATCCTGCTACCATTACAATACACCACAAAGTTGTCAACCAAATTCAGGATTGGGTACAGCCAAGTGACACTGTACTATAGTAAGAAAGAATAGGGAGACCATAGGGAATCCAGAGCCTGTCTAAAGAAGAAACAGATGATGCCAAGGACATTTTAATAAGCAGCTTCTCATTCACCTCCCACCAAGCCTCTAAGCGGAACTGCTCAGGTGCGACCAAAGTCAGTACCTGGATGGGATGTTTGGTGTTACTGCCATGCAGAGATGCTAAAGGCAGTGAAATTTTGGAATCAAAACACATCAAGAGGGACAACCCACAAAATTAATAATCAGTCCCTACACAGCAGACACAAGAGGTCCTAAAAAACAAAATAAAACAAAACAGACACCTCAAAATGGCTGGGAGTGTTGGCTCATGCTTGTAATCCCAGCACTTTTGGAGGTCAAGGCAAGAGGATTTTGCTTGAGGTCAGGAGATCAAGACCAGCCTGGGCAACAGAGTGAGACCCCATCTCTACAACAAATTAAAAAATTAGCTGGGCATGGTGGTATGCACCTATAGTCCCAGCTACTGAGGGGGCTGAGTTGGGAGGACTGCTTGGGCCCAGGAGGTCAGGGCTGCAGTGAGCTGTGACTGTGCCACTGTACTCCAGCCTGGATGACAGAGCAAGACCCTATCGCAAAAAAGAACAACCACCACAATATTAAAAAAAAAAATTCTTTATGAAACTGTTATTCCATCTCTGGGCCCATGAATCATTTTAAGAATACAATGAACCAACCACAAATCTCTACCTTATCAAGTCTTTCACATTCCCACAGCAGTCTGGATTCAACTCTGGTTCCATTCTCAACAGTGTTGAGAAAAAGACATCCATGCCTAAATCCTTGCCTCATTCTTTTCCATTACAGGTGTACTCTCCCCAGAGTAATGACCTGTGTGTCTTCTCCCCTGGCCCCTCACTGTAACATGGGATGAGATCCCAAGTATGATTAAAACTCTTTGTTTTTTTGAGACAGTCTCACTCTGTCGCCCAGGCTGGAGTGCAGTGGTATGATCTCGGCTCACTGCAACCTCTGCCTCCCAGGTTCAAGGGATTCTCCTGCCTCAGCCTCCTGAGTAGCTGGGACTACAGGCACCCGCCACCACACCTGGCTAATTGTTTGTATTTTTAGTAGACACAGGGTTTCACCTTGTTAGCCAGGATGATCTCGATCTCCTGACCTCGTGATTTTCCCGCCTTGGCCTCCCAAAGTGCTAGGATTACAGGAGTGAGCCACCATGCCCCATACCCAGCCCCAACTAAAACTCTTATGAAAAGATGATTTCAATTTAAAAGGCTGGGAAGTGATCACCTCTATGAAATGCAAAGTTAGGGTAAAAGGTCAAAAAGGCCTTAGGGGGCCAGGCGCGGTGGCTCGCGCCTGTAATCATAGCACTTTGGGAGGCTGAGGCAAGCGAATCACGAGGTCAGGAGTTAGAGACCAGCCTGGCCAACACAGTGAAACCCCGTCTCTACTAAAAATACAAAAAAATTAGCCAGGCGTGGTGGCAGGTGCCTGTAATCCCAGCTACTGAGGAGGCTGAGGCAGGAGAATCGCTTGAACCCAGGAGGCAGAGGCAGGAAAATAGCTTGAACCCAGGAGGTAGAGATTGCAGTGAGTCAAGATTGTGCCACTGCACTCCAGCCTGGGCACTAGTGCAAGACTGTCTCAAAAAAAAAAAAAAAAAAGGTGGTGGGGGCTTTGGAAAGATTTTTTCCATAACATTAGAAAAAGAAAAAAAGTCTGAGTCTGTCAAACAGTGGTACTGATTATTCATATACATGAGGGTGGGGAGAGAGGACAACAGGAGATGAGATGAACAGGATGCTAGGACTTGAGAGGCCTTGACACTTCTGAATCCAGATGCAGGATGGCAACTGCAGAGGCTGGGGGTAGCAGCCTGCACAACCACCCCAAGGCTCTCAGCTCCACCACTGAGCCATTTCCAGATTGCTGCATCCCTGTGTGAGATAAACAGTAAGACAGGGCCACAGGGCTATTGTCCCCTGACCAGAGTTAGCAGAACTCATCCCCCAAACCGGAGGGGAACACAAAGCTCAGGTCACTGAACAGAGCTCTGGTTCTGCCATCCATGATAGCCAGGGCAGATCTGGTTTATAAGGCTGACACTGCACAGTGCACAGTGCACAGTGGCTGGGAGCAGGGGCTCTGGAGGCACACAGTCTGAGTTTGAATCCTAGCTCCAGTATTTATGAGCAGGGAAACCTGTAGGCAAGCTGTTTAGCCTCTGTGTGCCCAGTTTCCTCATCTATAAAAATGAGGACAATAATAATAGTTACCTCACAGGTTGTTGAGGATTAAATGATATATTTAAAGCAGTGTCTGGTATACAGTAAGCACACAAGAAACTTTAGCTATTATTTGCTTATTGTGCTTGTTGTTGCTTAGAGAAATTCTCATAAACTCTCCTGGGAGGGAGAAGAGTACCTTCTGAAACAAAGTTTGACAGTCCCTTGTCCAGAGGCCTTTGGTAGAATTTATGGAGCATTAATTCTAGGGAAATGTGAACTCAGGATGCTTAATGGAGCACAGAGAGTAACAGCTACCATTTGCTGAGAATTGATGATGTATCAAACACTCTGACATGTGCCTCCCCTCTACACCTCACATCATCCTAATAACAACCTCAGCAGTGTCTGGAAAAGATATATTATCAGTCCCACTTTGCAGATGAGGGGGGCTACGGCCCAGAGCCTGGATTTGCAGCCAGGGCAGCACACCTTCAGAGACCATGGTTGGTAACTCCATGCTATATACAGTGCTTATTCTGCCCTTTTAAATAAGATGATAAAGAAAGAAAGTAGAAGTCATGTTCTTGAATTCTTCAGTAAGAGGTCATCGTTTCTAAAAATGAAGGAAGAGTGCTTGCTACTAAGCAATGATCTCTGGGCATGTGTGGTGATATAGAGGTTACAAGAAAGTATGAATAATCAAATCCAGCTAACTCCATTCCTGGAAGTTCTGTCAGTCAGTCAGTCAGAAAAGTGAGGTGGATGGAAGGGAAGGAAGGTCTGGAAAACAGGTGAGCAGGACCCTGTCCCTGCCCTGAGGGGCTTCCAGGCTAGTGAGGTGACAGACATGTGGCGAAAACAGTACAGAGAACTGTACAAATGCCCTGATGGCTCTGACAGGAACGGGGACAACCCAATCCCAACTCCAGGGGGTCGGATTTCTCACCATCCCTGCTTGTCTCCATTTAAACACTTCTAGAGCTGTAATGAATTTGGGAGACAGCCACACTTCAACCCCTGCTTCCACCTTTACTCACCAACTTCAAGGGATAGGAAGCAGTGAGCCAAGAATTCAATTCCTTCATCAAGTCACAAAAGCCTGTGATTTTGGAGTTACAAGTGGCTCTTTATATTATGGAAGTCCAACAATCTTATTTAGACACACAGAAATGAGTTGCGGGGGGACTTACTGAGGATAAGCAATGGTTACCCGTAGGCTCCTTACCTCCCAGTCCAGAGTCTCCACCCCCCAACCCTCCTGGTTAGGTCAGCAGACCCCTGGCTCAAATCAGCTGTTCTCCAAGCTCCAGGTTTGAGGTCAAGGATGTGAATGGGAAGAATCCCCATGGTGAACCCAGCAGGCAGGAAGCAGCAGGCATCCCGGCCAGGTCCCCACACCATCCTCAGAACCAGGGCCTCACCTCCATCATCTCGAAGATGCTCTCTGGGTCCAGGCTGCCCTTCCCCACTTTCCTCAAGCACGTCACAGCTCCCTTGCTGGTCACCGACACTAGCAAGCTGGCCAAGGAGCAGGCCTCCTCCTGAAGAGTAGCATCCACCACATGCCGATAGCCGATCTGCAAAGGCAGGGTGCAGAGCACACAGGGGTCACAAAGGCTCCAGAGCCCCACCCTTGATGGCCTCATGGTGGGAATCTCTACACCAGGTAAAGGATTCACATAGGTCATTCCAGGTCTTATTTTAGATTCTGCTCATGAGGAAAACAGTTGAAGGAATGTTCAACAATTCTCATAGGCCACTGTGTGGGTGATACAATAAAAACATGACATGGAAAAATAGGGCAAGGGGGTTTAAAACTTGAATTCAGAGACCATCCAAGACAGAGGCCACAGAGGCTTTCCAACAGAGGGGCACAAGGGACAAATTCACACACAAGGCCACATCAATGTTTCACTGATGGCAAGGGGGAATCAAGAGGGCCCATGCTAAGGGGCACGCTCAAGAACAAGCCAAAGCCTGGGCGCAGTGGCTCATGCCTCCCAGCACTTTGGGAGGCTGAGGAAGATGGATTACTTGAGCTCAGGAGTTTGAGACCAGCCCAGGCAACATGGCAAGACCCCGTATCTACCAAAAATACAAAAAAATAGCCAGGTGTGGTGGTGTGAGCCTGCGGTACAAGCTACTTGGGAGGCTGAGGTGGGAGGGTTGCTTGAGCTTGAGCTTGAGCCTGGGCAATGGTGGGGGTGGGTTGCAGCAGAGGTTTCAGTGAGCCTTGGTTCTGCCACTGCACTCTAGCCTGGGTGTCACAGGGAGACTACGTCTCAAAAAAAAAAAAAAAAAAGCCAAGACCCAATACCCTGCTGTCTGAACACTTCACCACATCCTGTTCATGAAGTTATTTCAGTGGAATTAAATCTGACCTGTTTAGCTTTATTTTGAGATAATGAATCCTGAGTTGAATTAGCTAAAATCCCAGTTAATAGCCAATACAGGTCTCTTAGCACAGCCTGGGGCAGCATTAGTTATACGTCACCTCAGTCAGATGCTGAGCTCCACAGCCCTCTACTCTATGTGAAAACCACTCCTGACACCCAAGACCTGCTCCAACCTCCCATTTCATAGAGGGGACATTGTTTGCCATCCTGCCACTACTCAACCACCCCAGGCCAAATAGAGTTGAGGCAATTAAAGGACACAGTGCTTTACTGAAGCACATGGTATGTGGAAGGAGCTTAACAAACTCTGGCTACTATTACTACAAACACACTCCTGGCTCCCAGGCCACATCATATCTTCCAACTAAAATGAAAAGAAAAAGCTACTCATGGTAGTGGTTTCTAATATAAGCAAATTATTGGATCTGGGTTAAAGCTATTTCTATATGGTGTGTGATATTATAATTTATCAACTTATTAAGTAATCTCAGCAGATTGGGATTAGAGGAGACCCACATACACAGGGAAGACAAAAACCACAAAATACAAGCTTATACCTTGCACAGAGTGACAATGCAGGGGACATTCTCAACACTTAGTCGTATGCAGTCATAAGGGTCATCAGACAATTCAATGTCCTTCGACCCCTCTTCATCCTCCAGAACTCGAACCCTTGGTATCCTGGAAACACAATTAAAATTTCCATTTGCTGTGAGGAGGAAAAATCACTTCTTTTTAAGATTGAGAATAGGAGTTAGAATCCCTGTGTCTCACAAGAGAAAGGTACACTATGCCTATCCTTTATTATCTTCACCCCTGTCAAAAGCACACAGGAGGCATCACAGTCCAATGAGGAGAAGCATCTTTTAGAAAATAATGCTAGGTCAATCAGATATCCAAATGAAGAAAAAATGAACCTCAATCCCTACCTCACACCACACACACACACAAAGCCATACCAAATACACCATAGATATAAAAGTGAAAGATAAGACAATAAAGCTTTTAGGAAAAAACATCTGCATGACCTTGGAGTAGACAACTATTTCTTGAACAGGATACAGAAAGTATTATCATAAAAGGGAAAAAAGTTATAGATTCAATTATATTAACATTATGAACTTCCCTATATCAGAAGACATCATTTAAAAACACAGAAAATGGGTGGGTCAGCCCTTGAAAAGTCCTGATATCTAAGTGTGAGTACTATATTAAACTGGAGTGCAGTAAACCTAGGAATCCTCCCACAATTGTTTATTTGAAACACAGTCTTGCTCTGTTGCCCAGGCTAGAGTGCACTGGCACAATCCCAGTTCACTGCAACCTGTGCCTCCCGGGTTCAAGTAATTCTTGTGCCTCAGCCTCTCGAGTAGGTAGGATTACAAGCATGTGCCCCCATGCCCAGCTAAGTTTTCATCATGTTGCCCGGGCTGGTCTTGAACTCCTGACCTCAAGTGATTCACCCAACCTGACCTCCCAAAGTGCTGGGATTACAGGTGTGAGCCAGTGTGCCTGGCCTGTTTTGTTTTTATAGAGAGATGGGGTTTCGCCATGTTGCCCAGGCTAGTCTCAAACTCCTGAGCTCGAGCGATCTGCCCACCTTGGCATTGCAAAGCGCTAGGATTACAGATGTGAGCCACTGTGCTGGGCCTATTTGTTTATTTTTTAAAAACATTTTTCCATCACTCATCCAGGTCCCAGAGCAAACTCCCTCTGCTCTCAGAGCTTGACACTGGATATGTATTCCACAGTTTCATTACCAGATCATACGCGCTAAGATTTCTCATCCATATATATGTGGATGCCATCCTTTCTAAAAACTAAACATGACCTCCTAGAATGTTCCTATTTATCTCATTTTATTTAGCATCAGCTCAAGAAACTAAGTCTTACTGTACATTGTCACAACAAAGAAAAAACTTTGTTTTTATAACTGGTTAAAAATAAGAAAAGATTATCGTCAAAATGAAAATACAAAATTAGTAATTTCTCACTGAAGAGTATGCCCGGGAGCCTCTAGTTGTTAAAAGAGGATAATATTACTCCTTCTTATCAAAAATTCATAATGCCATGTGATTTTTATGATACTTCTTCAATACAAAGGGTTAATATGTATCATCACTGTAATAACCAACAAAATGCCACTTTAAGAAAACTCTAAATTTTTTATAAAAATGTAAGAAATGGGGAGTAAGTGTTCACATCATTAAAAGGCTTTGAATTGACTGCATGCTACCCGCGCCGACCCCGCTCTGCCAGCTTCGCACGCCCGCCCGCGCCCACCATGGCCACAGTTCAGCCCCTGGAAGGAAGATGGCGCCTGGTGGACAGCAAAGGCTTTGATGAATACATGAACGAACTAGGAGTGGGAATAGCTTTGAGAAAAACGGGCGCAATGGCCAAGCCAGACTGTATCATCACTTGTGATGGCAAAAACCTCACCATAAAAACTGAGAGCACTTTGAAAACAACACAGTTTTCTTGTACCCTGGGAGAGAAATTTGAAGAAACCACAGCTGATGGCAGAAAAACTCAGACTGTCTGCAACTTTACCGATGGCGCATTGGTTCAGCATCAGGAGTGGGATGGGAAGGAAAGCACAATAACAAGAAAACTGAAAGATGGCAAATTAGTGGTGGACTGTGTCATGAACAATGTCACCTGTACTCGGATCTATGAAAAAGTAGAATAAAAATTGTATCATCACTTTGGACAGGAGTTGACTATGAGAATGAACAAGCTCAGTTCAATGAGCAAATCTTCATACTATTGTTTCTTTCTTTTTTTTCTCATTACTGTGTTCATTTATCTTTATCACAAACATTTTACATGGAGCTATTTCAAAGTGTGTTGGATTAATTAGGATCATCCCATTGGTTAATAAATAAATGTGTTTATGCTAATAAAAAAAAAAGGCTTTGAATTCATGGAAAAAAATAAAAATAAATAAATAGAAACTAAAAACAATATCTGGAGGGAGAAAATACTTGTAAATACATACCTGACAGGTTACATAAAGAATTCTTACTAGACAACAATAAAAAAAGACAGCCAAATAGAAAAGTGGGCAAAAGACTCAAATGTAGAATATATTTGGATAGTCTTCATAAAAGAGGCTATCCAAGTAGCCAACTAACCAAGAAAAGGTGCTCAATTTAAATATCTATTAAAATGCAAATTAAAACTACACTGTGATACCACGGCACACTCACTAAAATATTTAAAAAAAAAAAAAAAAGGCTGGGCACAGTGGCTCATGCCTGTAATCCCAGTACTTTGGGAGGCTGAGGCAGGTGGATCACCTGAGGTCAGGAGTTCGAGACCAGCCTGGCCAACAT